AGTAGGTGACAAGTAGGTGCATCACCTACTTTGACTTATTGACCATCCCAAAGGACCAAGTAGGTGCATCACCTACTAAGACTCTTTTGACCATGTTATTGGACCAAGTACACTACACCTTCTTGCATTAATCTGGCCCAAGTTGAATAGAAGAATAAGGGGAAAATGGACAGAAAAGGCCCAATCTTTCCAATCCCACAAGAAATAATTTGAATGGAAAAATAGGTGCATCACCTACTTGAATGTGTGGCCTAAATTAAAGGCACATGTTTGGCTGCAAAAGAAGTACAAGAAAGGTGGAAAAGGCCCAATGTTCTCAAGTCCAAAAAGGCCCAAGTGAAAAGTCCAAGTAGGTGGGTCACCTACTTGAAAAATTATGGCCTAAAATGAGTGATAAAGTCAGCCAAAGTAGGTCCCTTTAAAAGGGATTGATATCAGCTTTTTCCAACCATTTTTACTTTGCCAAAAATCTGATATCTAGAGCTTTCTCTCTTCTCTCTCTTAGATTTATACATCAGCCATTAAATACCATTAGGGTTCTTGAATATTAGGGAGTTCAAGCTATTGGAAGGTATAATTTAAGACAAGTTAAGGAGGATAATCTTTACCTTGAAGAATCCAAGTCTTAGCAAGTGATAGTTCTGTCCAACAAGGTAAGCTACTGCAATTTTCTCCTTATTGTGCTTGATCTAATTAGGACACTTGGTGTGTGTTAGTGAGTTGGAAATTGTTACTTTTACATAGGGTAATATTGGGGAGGATGTTCTGGTGATTAGTGCATGTTGGGACAGCCATGGAGGGGAGTCCTCTTTAACTTCAGTAATGAGCTTGTTTTAGCACCTTAAAAGTAATGTTAACTCTTCAAGTGCTGGTGATCAGAAACCATGATTCATATTTATTTTGTTACATTATTATGTTTAAGGATTATTTTATGTATGTTATGATAAGGGATGTGACTGGATGTGAGGGTAAGTTATGGAGATGTTAAAGGACTTAAATATTGCAGGGAGGTTTGGGGAGGACCTGACACGAAGGTTGTATAGTATATAGACGCGATTTAAGGGAAAGGGAAGGAAAGAAAACAATGGATAGAAAAATTGCATGCTTACCGCTTGGTTACTATTTGGGTGAGATCAAGTAAATCAAATTGATTGATTAGCTACTAACACTAGTCTTCCAACTTATTTTATTGTAGATTAGTAATCTTAAGA